TATACTGTTCATCATACCTATGATTTCTCGGCCTATAAACTCTTATTCGACCATTATTATACGACTGAAATACTTTTTCATCGGAAAATACAACCCTAGACCAAAAATTCTCATCGCGGTTTATAAATTCATTACAAAATTCAACTCATCTCCTCTTGTGATCCTCAGTCAAAAAAGGTTTCCGTGCAGCTACACAATTTAGCAGTCCACTTGCTTTAATTCTTCGACGTGCAGTGCGAATACTGCCTGGAAACGCTGCCTCTTCTCTTGCCTTTTGAGCTGTGGCAAAAGGAGATTCTCTCAAATAATCTACCAACATCTCATCCTGTTGATCTGTGGAAATCTTCTGCCCTCCTGAACCGCCCAACCGTGCTATAGAGTGAAAATTATCCCATCTTTGTTTAATCTTCCATATGCACATATGACTCACGTTCAAATCAGAAGCAACTTGCCTTAGTGACCAACCTTCTTCGAGTTTGGCAATTGCTCTTGCTTTTTGCGCATAATTCAAATGTATTCTAACCATTTTGGAAGAGTTTAATATACTTTTATTTTATTGTTGAACACTCGCGAAAGCATTGACGTTTTGAAATTTTTTGACTTTGACATTTATCAAATCCGTACGACACTGCAATTTTACAGTATTACAATATAAAAAGTAAGGTGTAAACTATTCCGTGACCGCAACTGTACATGTTCTAGGCAACGCTGTGAGTTTGAAACCACAAGTGTGTAATGTCTTATTGATTGTTGGCAACATTGGAATCACGCTAAAATGAAGGGCCAAGTGGAAGAAGGTGTTAAGTTACAAAAATTACTTTTCAAGATAACCCACTTTTAGTGAACGATGCTGGAATTTTTTTATTAAAAACACTGAAACTAGTACATTATAGGGTTTATGTTAGAACATAAGTAATTAGCTTTTGGTATATATTAAGTCTCTTAATACTATCAGCTTCCCCTTCTTTAACAAAAAATGTACATAACACCTTCTTTTATTATTAGCCAATACCAAAAAGAATAGATTGTTTACCGAAATAAAGAGTTAACTACAAAATAAATTATTTATTCTTTCACAAAATCAGTAACAGATTGAAATTATTGTTGAAACATGTTACTATTTTCATTGAAGTTTTTGCGGTATTGGAACATTTTTGTTTTGTTCATATTCACGAATCACACGTTCGTAATATCCACGATGTTCTTCTGAAATATATGGCAACTGAGTAACAATATCAGCATTTTTTTGTCTGATATATTTCCAGTCTTCTCTAAAATTCTAGAAAAGTGGAAGTATTCTGTGGGTACCTTTGGTTTATTCTTAAATATTAAAACCTTATGAAATGGATTATATTCATCATACGACTCTTTATATAGGTAGCTTCTAAATTCATCGATTCGAATCCACTTAATGCCATCTCTGAAGCGAACCTCTTGACTAAGTAAATTTTTTTCTGTTTATCAGGCCAAGCTCAGTACTTAATTTATCAAGGTCACGAAAATAGGTTTTCATATCATTAACCATACAATTTGTACCAATATTGTTCTAAAACTTATTTCTTGTGGCATTTTAAATTAATTACTATTTAACTGGGAATAAGCCACAATTAAAGGTTAAAATACGTTTATTGACATTGTTCTGAAGCTATTTTCTTGTGGCATTGTAAATTAATTACTATTTATAACTGGGAATAAGCCACAATTAAAGATAAAAATACGTTTATTGACGTTTCAATTTCCAATTCGGAAATCGTTCTCAAAATACAAACAGTAAATTAAACAAATTTTGTTTTTTGTTACATAGTGAAAAAATTCTTCTAATAATTTAATTTTATCTGACTCATTTATATGGACAATTCAGACATACATTATGCATTTTAAAGTAGACGACTTTAAAATGATATTGCCAATGTAATTCGTCTTTAAAAAGACAAACACATGACATGATGACAGTAAAATACTCCTGTTAGTGATTCCATAGTAAATTATGAGGGAAAAACCAGGAAAAAAACCTCATAATACTATCCCGACATTGTAAGTATTTGTTCGTGAATTTAGTTTACCTTCAACAAACATCAAAATTCTGATTTTATATGTTACGTTATTTAAAAAACATAAATGATGTATCCTCTATATGTTACTGACTTACTAATACTGGTATTTTCTTATTAATAACTTCCTCTTTTAATATAATGATATTGGTAAACAGATCCTACTACATTCTGCCGAGGAATTTGCGACACAATTGGCCTCATTTAGCATAATTAGAGCCGCTTCTTTGATTTTTCTATTTTTACCATCCGTTTCTTTTAGGACTATATTTAAATTATTCCATTGAACCCTATGTTCATTATTCCATGCGTGATTACATATTTGAGATCTATCAAATTCTCTATTTTTAATATAAGATTGATGTTCACTTATTCTAACATTTAATGGCCTTGATGATTCATCTAAATAAAACTGATCGCATTCACAAGGTATTTTATAAATGCAATTCTTTCTCCTTTCTTGTTCATTGTTAGGTTTGGTTTTGGACAAAATAGATCTTAACGTGTTTGTTGTTTTGAATGTCGTTGAAATGTTGAATTTATTTCCTATCCTTTTAAGTTTTTCTGATAATCCTTTTATGTACGGTATTGTTATTTTCCTCATATTATTCCTTGTGTAAGCTGTAGGATCTCGTTCTAAGTTGTTCTGTTCTATTCGATCGATTGTTGAAAATTCCTTATTTATAAACGATAAAGGATAATCATTTTTTAATAAAACAAATGTTAACAAATGTTTCTCCTCCAAGAACGAATTTTCGTTAGAACAAGTAATTTTGGCTCTATCGTATAAGGATTTAATTATTCCCTTTTTTACATTAATATTGTGATTTGATTTGAAATTTAAATATCTATTGGTGTGTGTTGGTTTTCTATACACCTGAGTCTCATATCCAGTATCGTTCTTAGATATTATTATTACATCCAGGAAAGGTAGCGTGTTATTATATTCCTTTTCCATGGTAAATGTTATTGTTTCTTCTTTATCGTTTATATCGTTTAGGAATGTGTCCAACAACTCTGATCCATGAGGCCATATTGAGAATACATCATCTACATACCTCCACCACACTGTGGGTTTGAAATTTTGTTTAGAAATGATATTTGTTTCAAAATCTTCCATAAATATATCGGCTAAGAATGGAGATAAACTAGAGCCCATTGCTAAACCAAAATTTTGTTTATAGAATTCATTTTTTAGTTGAAAATATGTATTATCAGTACATAATGTTAATAACTCCATTATAGCCGATATGTTTAGTCTTGTTCTAGTTGCCAATGAATCATCAGTCTCTAATTTTGTCTTGACTATACTTAAAGTCTTATTTAATGGCACATTCGTAAATAAACTATTTATGTCAAAACTTACCAAAGTATTATTTGAATTAAATTCAATATTTGATAATTTATTTAAAAAATGTTGTGTATTTTTTATGAATGTGTCATTTTTATTTGTAAAAGGTTTTAAAATATTTAATAAAAATTTTGATAGTTCACTACAAGGAGAATTCATGGTACTACAAATGGGTCTAAGTGGTATATTCGTTTTATGAATTTTCGGTACTCCATAAAAATGAGGAGTCTTACTGTAATGAGGTGTAATTAATCCTCTCTGATAACTTGTTAAAACATCTTTAAACTTGAATAAAGTTCTATATATTTTGTTTTCCAAAGGCTTTGTTGGATCTTTTGTTAATTTTGTATAAGGTCTGTTTATTAATAGATCTTTAATTTTATTTTCGTATTGAATTTTATCCATTATTACAGTTGCATTCCCCTTGTCTGCTGGTAGGATGATTATGGAGTCGTCATTTTTAATTGTGGCTTATTCTCAGTTATAAATAGTAATTAATTTACGTTTATTGACGTTTCAATTTCCACTTCGGAAATCGTTCTGAAAAGAACGATTTCCGTTAACGTTAACGATAACGATATTTTGTGGGGCGTTAACGAAATATTCAAAAAGATCAATGATTTTTTTGTAGAAAATGGACTAGACTGAAAACAAGTGTCGGTTTCTGTTCGGATGGTGTCCGAGCCATGACAGAAAAATACGGTGGAATAACTGCCAAAGTAAAACTGGTTGCAGAAAATTTTACTTTTACCCATTGTAGTATCCACAGAGAAGCTTTGGTAGCAAAACCAATGCTAGATGAATTTAAACACGTTCTCCATGAAGCCGTTCAGATAGTCAATTTCATAAAATCTCCAGCCTTAAACTCGCGCTTATTTTCAAAACTATACTTTGAAATGAAAAGTGATCATATTCAGTTATGGCTACACACGGAGGTAAGATGGTTATCAAAAGGAAAAATGTTGAACAGGTTATTCGAGAGTTTTTATTGGAAACCAATTTTGAACTGCGTGATCGGTTACTAGATGAATGGTGGCTGACAACACTAGCTTACTTAACAGACATATAGACTAAATGAACTAAACTTAAGCTTACAAGGTAAATCACATAATCGATTTTCTGTAAACGATAAAATAAATGCTTTCATCAAGAACTGTTATATGACGAAAAATAGTGTTTCAAACAAAGATATTACCAGATATGACTATGCTCAGTTGTTTTTAATTCGACAATCATTTATTTTTAATAGGATTTTGGATTTATTCCTGAAACATTAAAACAGGATGAAAAATAGTCATTAATAGAACTATCTTATGATGAAGAATCTTTTTATTCAGAATTAAAAATATGAACCAATTCAATTATCGGAGTTGTTTTTTCTATTAATTGGCTTATGATCAAAATAAAATGTACATCTAAACTCAATAAACTATTCGTTTTATTTTATTATCATTTATTAAAACAAAAACCAAGAGAGACACAAGTGTTATATTGTTTTATTACGATATAATAAGAGTAGCAGGCAATAGTGATAAAAAATTTTATATTGGTACGTGCTTTTATTTCTTATTGAATTACCATCGTACTCATTCATCTAATTAATGATTTACAGTTAAGAGAAGTGCATAGATAGAATATACTGATCGACAAACCTGAAACATATAAATACGATTAAATATATAATTCACATGATTATATGTATTGTAATGAGAACAGAAATACAATAAATTATAATAGAAATATATTTAAGTCAGCCATGTGTATATACAACCAGATATACACTGTTAATTTAAATTTATTTAAATAGTAATTAAAGACATAATTTATAATTTATATACTAGATAATATTATTAAAAAATAATTATATGAGGGCATTTTTAAGAATCTAGCATATAATAAATGTTAAAATTTTTTTTTAATAATTATAAATATATATATAAGTCAGCCATATGTATATGCAACCAGATATACACTGTGGTGTCAAAAGTCAAAAGGGGTTTATTTATTTGTAATGTTAATTTAAAATATAATTACGGTTGAAAATAGTGATAATATGTTTCATATAAATGTTTAAGTTACATATAATAGTGTAATTCTGATCAGAAAAGCCTAAAAATCAGTTAAATTGTACATGTAGACCAGAGAAAGTTCTAGAAACGTCAATAGGACCATTTGCATAGTCCATTATTCGAAACCTTATTTATTGCTAGATTATTCTGGAACCATGAAAAAGATATATAAACCATGTAATTTGGAGCAGGAAGAGAGTTAGTTAGAAGAATTCAAGGCATTAAGTTACATGATTATTAAGTAAGTTAGAGTTGATTCATGAAGTGAGTTAAGTTACAAGAAGTTACAGTCAATTATTAAGTGAATTAGTTTGAAGAATTTAAGAATTCAAGGATTATTAAGTCAGTTACATGTGATTATTAAGAAGTCATGAAGATTATTGATTATTGATAATTAACTATTTGTTAGTTATGATGAAATTAAGTTAGAAGATTATTAGAAGAAGTCAGATTATTCATTATTATTATTATGTCAGTTACAAAGAAGAATTAAGAAGAATTTATAAGGTTATGAAGAGATTATTAGCTAGAAGAAGGCATTAATTAAGTTAAATGAATTAATTAAGTCAAATACAGTTGGAGATTAATTATTACTACAGTAATATAGTGACCGTATGAAGTTAATTCATTGAAGTAAGCATTGAATAGTACAATCACAAGATCCAGTATATTTAAAAGTACATTATATGGAAATTACAAGGATTTAAATTCAGTTCAGTGATAGAAAGGTACCAAATTTTGTTAATAATTTAATAATTGTAAGAATTTCAAATTTTAGATAGATTGTTTTAAATTGATATTGCTTATATTAGATAGATATGTTTGTTTCATATTAGTTATAATGAAGATAATTTAAAAAAGTACTTACAAACTAATTCTTTGAGAACCGCGATAAAAACCCTATACTTACATATATCATTCAAATTTACTCATAGCTCATACAGAAACAACACATCATAACAATTTACTTATACATATATATATATATATATATATATATATATATATATATATATGTATATATATATAAGTATATATATATATATATATATATATATATATATATATATATATATATATATATATACACCTCAGCCCTCAAATTTCATTTACTTTTGTACTATTTATTCTTCTGTAACTTGTTTCCAGCAAGAATAAGTAGAAATTAATTTATATTATTTGTTCATATCGTGAGTTTTAAAAATAGAAATATATTTACCGTGACATATGCTTTTCGGCCAACCTGGAAAAATCCTAGTGCATCTATAGAAATTTCTCTTTGTGCTTCGAGCATTAAGAAAAGTGTATCTTTTTTTAATGTTTCATGATTATCATACCATTTAGATTCAAATATTGCGTAAGCACAGTTTTCTGCCTAAAATTTATCTTAATATTATTTACATGAAATATATTATATATATTATAATTATCTAAATCATTGAATAATTAATATGCAAACGTAGTCCGGCAGCAGGATACCTTTCTCTATGCATGGAAGGTTCGATACTTGAAAACTGTTTTATCTTATGTAAATTTTTTTGCTGAATACGAATAGTAGACCCTAATCTCAAAAAGTAGTACCCATTTTTATAAAAAAATTTTTATAAATAAACTTTTAAATTCGAAGATTTTAAAACGACTAAACCAAATTGGATAGTTCTTTTGTTGTTGTGTTTTTTATTATCAGGAGAAGGTTTGTATAAAAGCTAATCTTAAAAAATTGCAAGGAAAGACGTAAAAAACAATTACTGTCTTTTCTGTTATGTTAAATATCAATATAACTAAAAGATGGCGCCATTATCTAGGCAAATAAAATAAATAAAAATAAATAAGTGAATTATTTATAGATATATACATATTGTATAAAAGGCAGTATTATCGAAAACTAGTACGAGACTAAAAAAAACATATTTTCATTATTTTAAATCCCATTATAACTATTAGATGGTGCCATGGATCGATCTATGCATTTGCACAGTTCAACTGAATATTTTTACTTATGTTTGTTATTAGTAAATGTTCGTGAACTAACTTTATTCTAATTTAGACGAACCCTTAATGGTCAATTGTGCGGTACATATGGAGAATGGCGCCTCTCAAGTTTAAATTTACTAGAGGATAATGTTCAATGGGGTCACATACTCGCTGACATTGTTTTTTATCTATTTCGCATCCAACCTTTCACCTAAGCAGGACTTCCAGAACATCCAATCAAGAAAACACACATGGATCATAATCCAAACGGTAATGAACCGAACGTGCTTTTCATCGCGCTCATATAATTTGTGAAACAAATACAAAGAACATTTAGGGGTGAAGCCATTTTGCGTCGAGTACGTTCAATATCGACAAATTAAGAACTAAAATTGTTTGCACATAAACACAATTAAAGTTTGATATCTTTATAATATTTGTATGTAATGACGTCTTGCAAGACATTCAATAAACTAGGAATGCCTGCGCCTAATTCCCCATGCACAATTCATTCAATCCTGAATTTAAACGGGAACGGCAATACAATAAAAAATTTTCAATTACTCCATACATGACAAGGTGCCACTCTTAAATCAGCAGGAAAGGGCAGCTAACGATATGATACGAAAAGTAAATTACAACAGTGTATGAATATTTTTGATCCATCGATCCGGTGGAACTGTTAAAACATTTAAAATTTCACTAATTTTAGACAATATTCAGGTACAATGCCAAATTGTGCTGTCAGTATCATTACCTGGTATCGTTGTTACATTCTTAAAAGGCGGACCTAAGACTCATTCTGCTCTTAAACTTCCATTTAATTTGAAAGCTATAGAGGAACTAACATGTAATATAATCAAAACATCAGCGATAGTAATAGTGATAAAAAACTAAAATAACAATTTAGCATGAGTGTACGATGGCACAAACAAGCATTGGTGGCACTCTACCCTACATTTCTTAACAGATTTTCGGTAAACAATCTCAGTTAGACCAAGATCAACAGCTGCTGATACAATAAATACTTGCTTAAAAGTATCAAATTAATGGAAATATGTGTAAAATATTAAGTTTATAACGAACATGTTACTGGCATTACACAATGATATATCGACAGTAGTTTTTTCAAATGCGCTTTTAGACAGTGACAATGAAAAAAAAATCCTTTTTACTCTTCTACTTGTCTTGTATCCTTTCCACCTATGTTTTGTCAATTCACAACGTCAGAAAAATTAATTTCAAAAATGTTCCCACATATTGATGTAAATTATAAAAGCCATGCTTGGTTAAGCAAAGAAGCCTTTTTGCGGCTAAAAGTAAGGACTGATATTATTTAAGTTTGAAAATTCAAAGTAAAAGTAATGGATAATGCACAAATACACTCTTTTAAATCGATCAACTATACCATTGATCCTAATGGATCATCAATTGGATAATTGATGATCCATTAGGATCATCAATTGACTGGCGCCACACAATTTATAGCGCAACCTTAGATGGGTGATAATCTGAAGACTGGCTGTTATAGACATTATAAATAATATAACTAGAGCTGCTAGAATCATAATAAAGTTTAAAGGCGAGAATGTAATAATTTCAAGAATACCACAAGAATAAGTGTGACCAGTTTCCAGTGCGAAATGTGATTAATTAATAAATCCCAAGGAGTTCCAGTATTTTTTGCACGGGTATTTGTACGTGGCGTGCTCAAAATTCGCAAACCATCGGCGCTATTTGTTTTCTCTCGATACAGAAAAAATAAAAATATCTTACACTATAAGTCATTAAAATAAAGTATCTATGTGTAATTAAATTTTTGTATTTTAATTATAATTTTAGTTAAAATACATCACCTGTGCGAAGACTGTTCGGGCAGCTAGTAATCGAAGATGTAATCTTACTTTTAGTACGTACTCATAACTTTTTACATGGTGCGTATTTCTCGAAAAGTGCACACAAATAAAAAGTTTGAACTTATCTCGATAATTCACTATTAAAAAACTGGGAGAAACTTTCTTTTTCATTAGGTAACAAGCAATAAACAAATAGCTTTTCGGTCTTACAGAATTAAAAGCACACAGCGGGCTAGTACGTGGTAACATTAAATATCAGCTTTTTTAATATTTCAATAACTGCTCGTTTCAATAACTGCTCGAAGTAGGTAAATGCCATACTAGCCAGGTTTGTGCTTATAATTCTTCAAGCGTGAAAACCTCTTTGTTTATTGCTTGTTAACGCAATAAAGAAAAAAGTTTTTTCTATTTTTTTCAATAGTTAATTATCAAAATAGGTTCAATTGATGTCCAGCTGTAGCTCTTAGAATTAAAATTTTTAATAACTTTTTCCACTCCTGTTTCGGTTTTGTCACCCATCCATTTATGTATTCTATATTGCATGCTCTTCTTACGTTCTCACTTCTCTTCCTATTAAACAGACTTTTCCCTGATATTCGTTGTAGTATTTTCATCTCTGTTGTTTCTAGTAGTCCTCTCGTTTTAGATGTGTCAGATCTTGTCTCCGCCGTGTATGCTAATATAGGTCTAATTGCTGCTTTATAGATTCTTGTTTTTATGTCTTTTCTAGGTGTTTATTCTTCCAGATTGTGTCATTAGGAGATCCCGCCGCTTTACTTGATTTTAAGCTTTGTTGTAGTACTTCTTCTTTATCATCTCCGTAACTAGTTATATCTATTCCCAGATATCTAAACCCTTGCTTTATTATTTTCCAATCAATTTCTATTTTACATCGTCGTGTGTATTAAGATGTTGTCACATATTTGTTTTTTTTTTCAGTTGATATTATTATATTATATTTCTTGGCTGTTGTATTGAAGATGTGTGTTAATCATTGGAGCTCGTCTTTTATCTGTGCGATTAATGCGGCGTCGTCTGCATAACATAATATTTGGATTTCTTTGTTTCCCATTCTGTAACCATAACCTTTACGTACTACTTTTATCATTATTATATTAAAAAGAGGTGAGCTTGTTGCCGAGAGGGGGCATTTGGACCTGTAGGACCCATCGCCGGCTCTTCGGACTTCTTCCTGTCCCCGGAATTTGATCGGGTGTTGACCATCTTTGCTTGTCGCTGGTAAAACGTGTTAATACTGCTACTGGTATAAAATAACAGTTACCGTGACAAGTATCTGTTATAGGTAACAGTTCCAAGGAACAGTTACAAAATAGCAGATCAAAATAGAAAACAGAACAGGTAAAATAATCTAAGTATTCTTTGACTTACGAAAGAAATAACTTAGTAAACAAGGAAATAAAATGGTATATAAAAATACAATGCACAGAAAATGTTTCTAATTGTTGCTTGACTTACGGAAGAGACAACTTAAAATGAAAAGTAAAATACACAAGAATAAAAGAACAGAAAAGTGCAGAAATATTCCTAAGTGTTTCTTGACTTACGGAAGAAACAACTTAAGACAGAAATATAGATAAATGAAATATGTAAATATGGAACAATGTATGGAAATATTTCTAAGTGTTTCTTAGAACAGAAAACAAACAAGAGAATCAAATATAGTAAAATAAGAATACAAATATTTGTAAGCGTTTCTTGACTTACGGAAGAAACAACTTATTATAGAAAATAAGAAAATCAAATACAGAAAAGATATGGAAATATTGCTAAGTGTTTCTTGACTTACGGAAGAAACAACTCAGCATAAAATGGTAAAATAAAAAAAACAAATATATTAAGAAAATATCTTAGATAAATATCGGAAATAATAATGCAATAATGATTATGAAAATATTTCTAAGTGTTCTTTTGACTTACCGGAAAAGAATGACTTAGGCACACAATAAAATTAACAAGTCAAATATCAGAGAAATATTTCTAAGAGTTCTTTGACTTACCGGAAAGAACTACTTAGACACAAAGTACAAAATTTATAAAATAGAAAAAAGTAAGGTAAATATTTCTAAGTGTTCTTAACTTACGGAAGAACAACTTAGATACAAAATACAAGAAAAATAAACAATCAAAATAATCAAATAAAATATCAAATAATCAGTATATGAACAAATATAAGTCAAAGTAATATTCTAACCTGAAAAGGTCTGAATATACAATAATAAAATATAAATGGTTATCAGAAAATAAGAAATAAAACAATAGCTTAGTCGGAACAATAATAGCACCGACTAGGTCTACAGAAGAAGAGGCAAGCTCGACTGACCGATGAGAGAAATTCCGTCTGCTTTTATATAAAACAAATCCTTTGTTTTACGTAGTAAAAGTGGAATTTCCCTACATCGAGTCAATTAGAAATTCGGATTTGCCCACACTTGGAATTTCCAAGTATTTCTCCGAATTTCTAAATGCGTCCGGCACGGCGGTCAGCTTATGCCTGACACGCCTTCGGAGACAAGCTTTAAGAGTCACCATGTCAGACTCCAGTTTTGTACTGTTATACAGTCTATTAGTTTTCCATTTATCTTTGCCTGTATTCGATTATGGAAGTATATGTTGCGATGATTCGTATAATATTGATTGGTATGTTTCTTTTATACAGTAGGTGTAAGACGTCTTCCACTTTAATGCGATCGAATGCCTTTGTCAGATCTATAAATTATAGATATGCTGGTTTATTGTCATCGAGCAAACAGATAAAAGAGGGAATCTAATCGTTATGAAAAGGAGACCAAAAAAGTGGCCTCTGATGGCGGACATATCCGGAAATGCAAAGGCGCTAAATTTAAATTTTCCAACACTTGTTAACAATACCTGTAAAATATTTTTCAGACAAGAAAGCTTTAATTAAATATTAACGATAATAGTCTAAAAAGTGACATAATTGGTAAAAAACTTCAATATAAATAAAATTTCATGTGACAGTTGGGACAAACAATAACATAACCAAACTAAATTTGACTTCTTAAACAAGGAAAGAGACTGTCTTTCCTTGTTTAAAGTGGCCTCTTAAAATGGCACTTCCTGTCTAACAATATTGTTGTCCCCACTACCTTTACATTCCCTCTTTTATCTTTTTGCTCGATGTTTATTGTACTCGGTAGCATTTTCTATGATTTGTCTTAGTATAAATACGTCGTCATCGCATGATCTTCCGAATCTGAATCCTTATTGTTTATCTGATAAAGTTGTTAGTTTATTGATTTTATTGGTTAGGACTTCCGTATTAAGCTTAAGTGCGGTGTTCAGTAGATTTATACCTCTATAATTGTTGGGGTGTTCTTTATCTCCTTTCTTGAACATTGGTATCATTATGCTGTTTCTCCATGCGTCTAGTAGCTTGCGTTAATAAATTAGAATTAGAATAATTATAAATTAAAATATTCAGATTTAAAAAATTATTTATTAAAATTGGTAAAACTTTTTGAGATGGGGCATCCTGCATTTGCATTAAATACACTGAGTGACAAAAACGTAAAACATATATGTGTTTCTCAGAATTCATTAATTTTTTCATACCAAATTATCTTATCAACAACAAGTAATTAGTTTTCAGGTTAAACTGTTAAGTTTGTGTGGTTATCTCGGCAAATTTTATTTTTCTTTTCCTAGTGCCTAGTAGTTCAAGGTTGGCTATAACCCCTGCAAATTCGTCTCATCTGCTGCTATTCGTCGCTATATATTTGTCGTCTATCAGGACCTCTTTTTACCTTTATTTTACCTTTCTTTAGCTGCAACAACTCGAACTTCTCATTTCTAAGTATGTGCCTCAAATATGCTGTCTTTCTTCTTTTAATAGTGGTTAAAAATTCTCTTTCAATTCTCTGCAATACCATTTCGTTCGTAATATGATCGGTCCATGGTATTTCAAAATTCCACTCCAAGCTTAGACACTATAAAAAAGAATTTTTTTTTGTTTTTTTTTAAGCCCTCTTCTCTATTTGGATTGCCGAATATAGGCTTCTCCTAATTCTTGTCATTCATCTCTGTTATGTGTAACGTTTCCACGTTTCTACATTGGCCCTACAGTTCTTTTAATATCGAAGAAGAATTTAGTGGATATAATATTTTACCATCTGATATCGGATTTGCAGATTGAGTCTTTGGTTACTCAGAAATTTCTTCATCGGCAGAAAGACTGCTTTTGAGTGGTCTATTCTTGATCGAATATCTTAAAATACTTTATTTTGTCCTCTTGTTCAATATTTTTATTTTAATCTAGATCTTTGTTACGCCTTTACCCCTCTTACTGATAACCATGGTTTTTGTTAAGTTTTCGGGAAGGTATTAATGGATTTAAATTTGTTTAAATATAAGTTCTCTCCGTTTTTTCCAACATAATCATTTCTCAATACCAAAATTTACAGGTTACTACAAGTTAAATATACACTACGTTTTCGGACACCGGCAGAAAAAAAATGGGCCGATCTGACGGTAACTCGATACGTATATTTTTCATAAAATATATCCTCATTATGATTAAAGGCTATCAGATCTATACCTGTAATAAATCTTCTGGTGACATCGATTATTTTTTCATTTCTAGACTGGGTTACATTTACCGTGTAGGTAAGCTGACTTACGTCAACATTGTGCAATAATTAAATATATTTTAATTAAATGTGTACGTGGTTACTCTATTAAAACATTTTTTTAACCCCCTCTGTGGCTCAGTGGTAAGAGCGCCTACCTTTGAACGTAAAGGCCGTGAGTTCGAATCTCACCTGGGTGGAGAAATTTTCGTTTATTAAAAATTAATAAATGAAAATAATTTTAATTTCTTATAGCAAAGAAAATGACGTCGACTTTGCTAAGTATGAAGACAATTACTCTACACCTACACACACACACTATACTAGGTACCTGACTATAAAAATTCACTGTACCATATCAATGACCATTAGTTGTCGACGCATTAAACTCAATAAAAAAAATAAAAAAAAAACATTTTTTGCCAACAATGTGCTTAATTTTTCTCCGCAAAAATAAAGCCCAGATACACATCCCTCACCGGCTTCCAACATCATTAAAATTGATTAAAGACAAATAAAAACAATAAAAATATCAAATCAATATAATATGGTACTTAAATATATATCATATTTTTAAAAATGTATCTAAAAAAATTAGAGTAAATTGTTTATTATTCCACATACCTCATCTTGTAGAAATGAAGAAGGGAAAGAGAATATTGCCAATTGTAACAACATAATTATTGTAAATGTACAACCCTTTATTTTTAATGATGCGTCTGCTTCTCTAAAATAAAGAAAAAATGTAACATATTTCTCGTAAAATATATCAGTACTAGAATCTAAAGCCGGTATGGGCATACGGAGTAAAACTCTGAGGCGCTGCTACTAACTCAAAGTCTAAAATCCTAGATAGATTTCAAAATAAGAATGATACAATTCGTACACGTACGGGTGGACAAATGTCCTGTGTGGTACGTGTCTAATAATTTAATCGAGAAAGACTTAAAAATGTTATCCGTTAAAACAGAAATCACACGTTACAGTGACAAATACAAATATAATGCCAGTGATTATGCTAATATACTAGTGCGTGAGCTACACGAAACTACAGGTGAAGTGCGTGGCATTAGAAGCACTAAAGCGGTCATTTTGACCGCTTTCTATTTTTGACTTTCTGTATCTATTTGAGGATTATAGATCTTCACTTTTACAGGTACTGAGTGTAATTACTTTTTGAATATGTTGATGTCTACCTACAAAAATACGGTATGACGGTGTTAATTTTTTTACAGTCATTTTTCGCTGGATTAATTCCTATCATTCTTCACCTCAATTATAAAATTATTACCCTAGTTCAACCCTTGGTAATCCTTTATACTCCCTCTTCAATCCCACTCCTTTAGAAATACAGTTATAGTTTTAAAATAGCAAACGAAATGTACTAACTCTTCCATGTTGACTTTCTCAGAGAGTCAACAGGAAAAAGAGAGAGTCAACAGACTATCTTTCTCTCTATCTCTGATAGTTGCGCAAAAAATTCGGCGAATTCTCTTTTGAATTGTAGAGACAACAAAAGCCAATGGGCTCTATCTCGTGATCTTAGTGTTAATACTGCGAGACACTTGTTGAGAAACCAGTAGAGACAGCTGCCCCATACCAAGAGCAACAGCAAGTGAAAGCCTATAAATACCACGAGTGTGTATGCAGCAGAAGTATTGGTAAGACTTTTTATTAACTTGAGTTGCTATTATCTGTATAATTTCTTAATACTTATACTAATTTATTTGAACCTATGTAACACAGTCCTTATACATTGAAATTATATTCATAATTTCACATATGTACACCTCTTTTTGTACAGCCGGCTTATTCTACTTTTCTGGGAAGTTTTTACTTATTTTCTGTATAAAATGCATCGAAAGTTGATATTTAGTTTTAGTGTGCTCTTTGCAAGTGCATTCAATCTGAATTTTAACTTTTCAGTGCGATTTTTCTCTCTTTTCTTGTTATCACGTCTTGTCTATATTTGACGTGGCAGGAACTGTTTTTACGGAATTTTCAGATAATAAATCTGAAGTAGAGTTATGTGATGAAGATGCATCCGATAATGAATATAACCAGTATGTGTTTGATAAAGTTAATCAAAAACATTCATCGGGTAGCGATTCTGAAGATGAAGTTGAGATTGAGGAGCTGCCCAGTATTTCTGCTTTAACTTTAAACGCAGTTTCCAATACCCCTTTAGTAAGGATTACCAACCGAGTAAGGGGAATTTGCGGAAACAATTTAGGGAATCCCTCTGTCGACACCATAGTATGGGAGTTAGTTGACAACATATCTGGTACACCAAGTTAGCTTGGAATTATATTAGTAGCTTCTATTTATGTATTTATTTATATAATATTTTTATGAGTATATACCTTAATTGTAATGTATCTTATTCATTTAAGGAAGACGTATCAGTAGAAATATTCTAAAGGAAGCTGCTGAACCAACGCATCAGCTAAAAGTAGCATTATTTGAGATTCTGCAGTTAGTGCATGCTGGCTGCTGATTGATGCATAGTTCGTGACATAAAATTATGTACTCTTACTGAAGGTAGGAGACAACTCAAAGATGAAAATTGACAAATTTAAATTGAAAAAAATCGAAGCATTTATATCCATAATGTATGCTAGGTGAGCTTACACAGCACGAAATATCTATTCTAAATATCTCAGATTTACTGAGAAAATGAGCTTTATACGTTTTGATCACAAGTACCAGGTTTGAGCTGGTTGGCAATTTATCAACAGATAAATTTGCACTTGAGACGGGATAATGGAACGAATTTATAGAGAATTGTATATTATGCTATACACTTGGCTAAAATATATCTATCGAAAGAAATCGGGAAACCATGACTAACTACAACCACACATGTAATGGTTTCAAAAGTTTCAAAAAATTCATTATAATTTCAAGTAAATATTTCAAAATAAAATTGCTCACGACATCTACCCAATGAGTGCATTTAAATTACCTCAAGAACCCTACTGTAGTTCATAAAATCTCCGATAGATGAGAGCGTTTGTTAATTCGTCTCGATTCCCGAGCGAAATTGCTTGTCCACCTTCTTATCATCTTGATCGTCAAACAGCCAAGAGATTTGTTTAAGTGATCTCTTAAAGAGGTAAGCAGCAAAATTCCTTTTTCTTATATATTTTCAAATAAATATTTATTTTTAGACCCTTATCCGGTAGCCCTAAATGTTACTAAGCTATGTTTATTTGGCCCGAGGTTGTATAGATATGGATTTATGATATGTGTTCTAAAACACAACCCTTTATCTTTTACTATCTACCCTAGGAGGTAAAAAGAAATAAATTATATCCTTTCTTCATGACCACCAGATTTTGGATAAATCAGGTTGTACCGATTTTATATATTCTTTTATTGAGCAGTGAAGAATATTTATAAACTAAATAACAGTGAAGTGCGTTAATAGTGATCTTTTAATTATAATAGATATTCTAGAATTCTTATGTATTCTACTTAATAAACAAATGTATTTTTATGTGAACTAGTTTCGAAATTTGGGAAAAAGTATAATTTTATTTTCATATATTTCTCATTGATAATCTAATGTCATGATATTAAATGTTTGTTTTTCTAAGAAACGATTTTAATTTTAGTTTCGTATAAACACTTCTCATGGTATTTCACTGTAGATACAAATTGTTATTTTAATTTCTTTCTGGAATTACGCAACTTTTTAACGTAGCATCTTTTAATAATTTTTTGTTCTTTACAAAAATTTTGTTTTAAAATCTTCTTTTTAATTTTTTGAACTAGTTCCTCACGAGAATAAATTTCAGGACAATGCCCATTACATTTTAATTTTAGAGATAATACACAGCTTCTATATCATTGAAAGAAACACGAAATTCTAAGTGATAAAAAAGAACGGGTCCATTCGAAGGGTCCGGAAATACGTTGAATGAAAGAACCAGCCATAGCCTTCCAGTATTTTCGACAAAGGTCGACATCCTTCTAATTTACTAGCTGTATTGGTATATACCATGACTTTGATTGAAAGAAGTCAGTCAGAAAAGAAATTCGCGACGGGTATTTAAATGTAACGATCGCAATAATAAATTATTATTGTAAGATAAATTATTATAAATAAACTTTAAATAAATTAAGTTTGTAACTGTTATAAATATTGAACCTTTAGTAAATTAAAATAAGAACGATAAATTAGAATTAATAAAGACATTATAGATGGATGAAATGGATGACCTCAAAATCCAAAGTTATGTTGTAATTATGTTTCTAATTATAATGATCTATAAATTATCTCGAAAAAAATAAAGGTTTTTTGCAAAATGACTGTTGAAATATTGACAATTTGAAATATTGAAAAACTGGCAATTATTAAATAATATTATGGAACAAAACCAAATTCATTACCTGACTCAGAGGCTACGTCGCTAGCTTGCTCATTGATAGGCCACTGGAAAATTTTCTCGTAAAATGATTTATATTTTTCTAAAATGCTGTTTTGAACTTGCTTGATATTTACAATTTTTTTTGAGAATAATGGCTACAGTATTATTTGGGTAAGCTAATGATGTTGGTAGTAACACGAAGCATTTAGTTTTAGAAAGAAGAAACGTGTGACTAATGAAACCGTCAATAAAATCGTGAGTCACAACTGTACCTTTTGCATGCTTATCGTATTCAAACGGCATAAATGACGATGGCGAGAAGGTTCTTTTTGGTTGCTTTTGTATCTTTGAAAGTATGGTTTCTTTAGAGAAGCAGTTTCGCTTGTAGTATGTTGGCCACCAATTACTAAAATCTAATATCTGACATGTCTTCATGTCAAAAACGGAAAAATTTGTCGCAGCTTCAGCCATAAGGGAATAATATTGGTCTGGCACATACATTTTGTTATGCTTCTTAATTTTTGATTTCAGCACCCCAAAATCTCGATCATTTGACAAAAATGAATGTCCTCTGATAGGAAAGTAATGGATTATTTTGGAAAATGTGCCTGTATCCGTCAATGAGAGCAAAAATGGGATCATCGTATGGTTCTTATTTTGTCCATGAAAATTGTCTCTGAACAAAAATACTTCTTGTACGTTATCGGGTAAAAAAGTTTCAAAATAATAGGACAACATGTTCCCACATTCCTTAATAATAGGACACAGATTCCTTGGTTTTAACATTTTTGATACCGAAGCAGTTCACCCATAGTTGACGACGCAAATAAAATATCTCTTGTATCGGTATACACGGCAGAGAAAGATTTTGCATAAAATCGAACGTAAGAATAACTGCGTCCTTTTGATTTTCACATATATCTCTTACAAAATTTATCTTTTTGTGAAATTTCCTGGACCTCCTTTTATGAACCGTTAGTTCATCTTCTGCAGTACTTTTGGCATGTCCTCCTAGGGACTGGTTGTTGATTTTTGTAACCAATTCTTCGCATTTAGTACAGGTATCAAATTGGGGACTACCAAAACGCAAAGAAAACTGTTCTTTAAAATATTTTGCGTAGTATTTATACCTAACATCCACATTTGGATGTTTTTCTTTAAAAAGACATATGGCTTTGACATCTAGGCATGCATCAAGGTATTTAATTTTTTTACTTTAGCGGATTTGGTATTCCATTGTAAGTCAACATTTAATTTATAATAATTAGTAGTCATAATTTAGTTACTTTAAAGTACATTATTAATTAAATCATTAGTTGTAATTTAGTTGAATTCAAATTAAAAACAATTGTTTTTGTACCATTAAAAAAATATTTTAGTTAAAAATGTAAGGTCGTTAAATAGAAAATTAAATTCTCCTTTAAATGAGGTGCCGCATTATACCGATTTCTATTTAAAAAATTAACGATTACGTCACTACACCCACACCAGTGACGTCATCCCTACTCCATGTATGTTATAAAATGGGTATTTTATAACAAAAATCGACCTGTTTCGGGATTTCCCTCAAAACTCGACGGTTCTTGAAATAATGATAATATTCCACAATTTAGCCGTTCACTGTATATTAATATAAATATATTAACAAAACTTTATATTTACTGTTGAGTAACAAGAATCAGCTGCATAGATATTGCGATTGTAGATTGTAGAAATTCGAACAAAAACACCATCGAGTATGGTTTCTTCATTTTATTTACCAATCTAAAAAGGAAGGTAATAAGTTAGTAAGAGAAAAATATTACGAATTAAAAAAACATTTTTAATATTTCATATAAATCTTTGGCGCTATAAAAATTTTCAGTTTTGTAGATTCCTACTTGTAAAACAGGCTTAACGTAAATTATTTGAAATTAAAAACTCGGCGGCCTTTATATAGCACGTCTAGAAATAAAATATTTGAACGCTTTATTCTTGCAAATGTAAATCGTTACGAGAATATTAACAAATTTATAACACTTCCTTTTAGCATGTGCTCTATCTTCTTTTTTCTTCTCTTGCAATCCTTGTAATTGTCCTCAATATTTAATGCTTTGATAACGGCATTTATTTTAGCTCTAGTTACAGATACATAATTTGACTAATGTGATCAAATTGATGCATACTACCAGTTTGTACCTACGGCTTGGAGACAGTAACACTTACCAAAAAATCTGCCAAAAAATTAGAAACAACGCAAAGAGCAATGGAACGAATCATGCTTGGAATATCACTAAGAGACAAGATTAGAAACAACGAGGTAAGACGTAGAACGAAGATTAGGGATATTGTGGAAGAAATTACAAAAATGGATGGGCAGGTCACGTAGCCCGATATAATGACAACAGGTGGAGACGGAGAATTCTAGAATGGAGACCAAGGACGACAACAAGAAGCACGGGAAGACCTCAAAAAAGATGGGTAGATAACATAAGAGCAGTGGCAGGCAAACAGTGGATTAGATTGGCGCAAGATAGAGAAAGATGAAAGCAATTGGGAGAGATCTACATTCAGGAGTAGATAGAAAATGGTTGACAAAGAAGACCAAATTGAATAATTTAATATACAAGATTTTTAACATGCTTATTGCGTAAGTCGCGGATGCGCGTCCAAGCCGTTCATTCTTTGGTGCCAAAGGCACGGATCCGCGCTTTAAACATAACTTCTATTTATAGTCTGATATTTTATTAGTACGAGAGTTGTGCGTTTATTTGCTACATCGGCATCTAAGAGTAGTATCAGGTAACGGAAGTTATTTCCTTTTATTCTGACACGTATTTGACTATTGCAATTATGAAGAACGCAGAGCCAGGTTGTTCTCAGCGAAAACGTAAAAAAATATCCGTAAAAAACCCTAAAAAGTTAACAGAAGACGAACTTGAATACTGTTTAATACAATCAGATAGTGAAGATGAATATATTTCGTCAGAAGACAAATATATTCCATCTACAGACGATGAGGATGGGGATGAGTTGGGTAAGCTGAAAACAAGTGAGTTTAAAAAAGTGTTATATTTGTATTTTTGTAAGTGACGACGATATTTTATGTATTGGAGCATTTCATTAAGTGAAATGCAGGAAATCCAAATACACATGAATGGCAAAATGATCATAATGACATCAAACAATTTGAGTTTATTAGATGTTGCAACTTGTTGATCCCCTCACAGAGCCACCACAAAGTAAGACACCTTTTGATTACTTTCTTCTTCTGGCAGATGAAACTTTTTTGAGCTGAACGAATCTCAATGCTGAACAGTTATTTCTATCGAATGTTGTTACAAAAAGATCTAGAGTAACAAATTGGAAGCCACTCATTACCAAGAATCACATAATTTTTTTAAGCTACTCTTACACATGGGGACATGGAAAACCAACTGAACGCAAGATTATTGGAAAATTGATAGTCTTTTTAATATAAAGTGTTTTCCAGGAAATAGGAGTAGAAACCGAGAAGTTATAGAGGACAAGCTGTACAAAATTCGTCCATTGCTAAATTATTTTAATTAAAAAATGAATGACATATATCAGTTTGACAAACATCTCTCCCTTGATGAATAAGTAGTTTTATGGCATGGTCGTCTCTGTTTTAGAATATATAATAAAAATAAGCGCTATAAATGGTATAAAAATGTATGTACTTACTGAGCCTAATGGATTAGTTCAAAATATGAAAATTTATGCTGGTAAATTTAATACTACCGCCGGAACAGAGCATTCAAAAAAGTTGTCATGAAATTGGTGTACAAACATCTAAATGCAGGTCACTCGTTGTTTATGGACAATTTTTACATGAGTATGAATCACTTATGAAGAATAAGAGCCGAAACACTTATGAAGAATAGAACATATTGTACAGGAACTTTTCTGAGAAGAAGACAAGGAAATCCAGTAGAAATGACTAAAGCCAAGTTAAAACAAAATATACAAACGGCGTTGTTGTTGGCAAATGGGTCGATAAACGGGAAGTAATGTATATATCGACTTAGTTCAGCAATGTTATGGTAGAATGTGAGAACAAACGAAAACAAAAAAAAAACCAAAACCTCTTCTAATCGAGGAATATAATAAAAATATGAGTGGTGTTGATCGCAAAGATCAAATGTTATCATACTATCCTTGCGAAAGAAAAACCATTCGCTGGCACAAAAAATTAGGTATACATACTACAAGTAATTTTAGTAAAATCTAAATTTTTTATTTAACAAATATTCTAGAACAAAACTGTCTCTTTATGACTTATCTACTAGAAATTATAAGAAATTACTACGCTCTTCTCAGAAAAATGTTCTTAAAAAATTGAATAACTTGTCTGAATGGCATATTTTGAGCAAAATTGCTGAGAAAAATACAAAAGGAGAAACAAAATGTAAAAAGTACAGGGTGTGTGCAGTGAATAAAAAAAGAAAAGATACTATTTATGAATGACTTATTTGTATTGACAAACTTGGTCTTTGCCTAGGCGCATGCTTCGTAACATACCATAAAGGCCGAAAATTACTCTAGTTGGTGTATTTTTTATACCATTGGTTACCTATAACGTTTAACTTGCTCTTATTTTCTATTCTATTTCTATTTCTAGAGTATCTTTTGTTACTTTTTAAATAAAACATAATTTTTTTGTAGTCTGGCAAGTTCCTATTAGATTACGTACGCAGTAACCTGTTAACTGTAACCAAGATACAACTAATAACTTCTTTCTAATTTAAAATTTTACCGCATCTTGAAAGAAATTTGGTTTCTTAGGAATTCTTTTAAATTTAGACGTAAACCAGTCTGCAATATTACGTCAGTTTAAGAAGTAGTACCTATTGGATTTTACTATATAATCATAAGTAAATAACAGAATAATCTGAATTTAAACGTGATCTTGCTTTAATATTGGGGAGTATAGGACTCATAAAAAAGGCCAAATTAATTTAAAAAATTATTTGACCTTCTGATGACCAACCTGTTTTTCTTATACGGATGACCAACGGGGGTCAGAAATGACCTCTGGTCAAAAACTACAATTGAGAAAAAAATTAATAAACATTAGTCAAACGAACTTTTAATTACAACTTAACAAAAACAGGAAACATCATTTTGAACATAGAACTGAAGAAATTTGAAAATATACAGTAATTTACGTCGCCACAAGTATAACAAACCCTTTTTTTTTTATTTGAATGTTCTTTGCAGAAAAAATCTTTGTATTAATCGCATTTCGATGTGAATTTTCTGTCGGATAATGAACTGAAAATTTTCATCGGCCACATTTCCTGGGGTTTTTAGTTGGCTCTGCATCTTCAGAATACTTTGAAAATTTTGTTAGTACCATATCTATTGCTGTTTAAATGTGTTTATATAAACCTTGACGCGGGTCGAGATTGATAAAAGGTGTAACTCGCTCAAGGGTAAATCTTGAAGAAAGAGCTTCATTTGAAAATATTTTCATTTTTTATAGTCTTTATATTTATCTATGTGCAGACCAAACGCATTTATACTACGTATGTCCACAAAATTGAAAAATACAACTAGAAGCCACCGCCTTGTATTACTATTGCATGCATATTCCTTGATCATTTTATCCAGACTATCAACTGCACCTTTGTGTTTGGTGTATTCCAAAATAATTTGGATTTTTCATAAAATAGGATGGTATATGGATTACCTCCTATTTTATCGGTACATAGGAATTTATAATGGCATCTTCTATATATAAAAGATCTATACAAAAGAAGACTAAAGAACTAAAACTAGAAGAATTCAGATTTGACACGTTAAATGAAATGCATGAACACATAAAAACCTGCCTGATTTCAGCGGCCTTAGAAGCTCGTGGAGAAGACAACCAAAGGAACACCCATCAGAATATCAAATTAAGGGAAGACACATTGAAATGTATAAAAGAAAAGAAAAACTACACATAAAATACCCAAACACCAAAAACCAGGAAGATTTCAACCTATATAGAGCGAAAAACAGAGAGGTAAAGAAAAGAGTAACAAATGAAAAGAACGAACGATGGGAACTAGCATGCACAGAGATAGAAACGAGAATAGAACTACATATCAAAAGAACGAGAAATTCAGAATCATGGCGAATATTAAAAGCACTCCAACGAAATAAGACAGAGAAAACCCAGATCGGCAAAATTAGTGAAAACGAGTGGCAAGAATACTACGTAGGTAGAACTACTTAAAGAAAACCGTCCCCAATTTCAGGAAGAGAATACAGAACATGCAGGAAATTGGACATACGACCAGATAGAAATAAGTCTGACAGAAGTCAAGAGAGCAATCAAGACATTGAAGAACAAAAAAGCCAAAGGACCCGGAGGGATACCAAACGAACTAATTAAAATCGGAACGGAAAAGTTATTCCGCATGCTACATAGAATGTTCGAAAGAGGACTAAATGGAGAGGAAATACCTGCGAAATGGACACAAGCATACATCACATCCATACATAAGAAAGGAAACAAAAAAAAATGTAAAAACTACAGAGGAATTAGTATGATATCGTCAGTAGGTAGACTTTACGGGAAAATTATCAAGGAAAAACTAGAAACTGAAATAATAGGAAAAATTGGAGAAGATCAAGCAGGGTTCATAGTAGGAAAATCATGCCTAGATCATACGTACACATTAGAACAACTGATAGAGAAGAAAATGGCAAAAGGTAGACCGGTCCATCTGGCGTTTGTTGATCTAAAGAAAGCATTCGACTCAATACCAAGAGTCAAATTATGGGAAGCAATGAATGATCACGGGATCCGACAAACACTAATAAAAGCAGTTAAAGCACTGTACAAAGAAAACAAAGTAGCTATTAAATGTGGAAATAAAGCCTACAATCCATTTAAGACGACAAAAGGACTTCTACAAGGCTGTGCTATGTCCCCTACTCTGTTTTAAATATTCTTGGAAAAGACACTCAAACCATGGAGGAGAAAGTGCGAAGGAATGGGCATACCAGTAAGAGACGAATACCTATACACCTTAAGTTTTGCCGACGATTAAGTAATCATCGCACAAGATGAAGAAGATCTCAGCTTTATGCTCAGAAAACTAGAAGAGGAATATAAAAACAACGGAATGGAAATAAACTTGGAGAAAACCGAATACCTAACAACAAAAAACAAGGATATGAGAAACCTAAAGATAGACGAGGAAAGACAAGTAAATGGAACAGATAAATTCAAGTATTTAGGAACCATAATATCGGACTAGGGAATAACAGAAGAAGATATAAACAACAGACTAAGACAAACAAGAATCTGTATAAGACAACTAAATTCAGTACTGTGGGATAAGAACATTACGATAAAGACAAAAAAGAGAATATATAATACCTTGACAAGAAGTATTCTGACATATGGGTCCGAAAACTGGACAATAAACAAGAGAAATAGAGGTAGAATAAGAGCAGTAGAAATGGAGTTCCTGAGAAGAAGCTGTAGACTTACAAAAAGAGACAGAATTGAAAACGCAGATATATATATATATATATATATATATATATATATATATATATATATGTATATATATATATATATATGTATATATATATATATATATATACAGAGAGAGAGAGAGAGAGAGAGAGAGAGAGAGAGAGAGAGAGAGAGAGAGAGAGAGGAGAGAGAGAGAGAGAGAGAGAGAGAGAGAGAGGAGAAGAGACTATCCTGATACGGCCACGTCAGAAGAGCTAACAGATACAACTGGACGCTGGATAAACAAAATTACAGAATGGAGCCCGATCGGAAGAAGAAAGAGAGTAAGACCCCGAAGGTCATTCAGAGACGAAATCGACGAGGCTATGTAGAAAAGAACCCTGCGAGATGGAGACTGGAATGACAGGGAAAATTGAAGAATACGGTTGAGTGAAGGAAGACAGTGAAAACTGTGGAAATCCTTAGTAGTAGTATCTTCTATATGGATATGGACATCTTCTACGAAAAGGCACAAGTTGTTCGCCGATATGAACTTGAGGGTTGGGAGCATACGCCTTTAACAGTTTGAGGCAAAAATATAATGTATCTCTTGTATTGGAGCTAACTTATCCGAAGCGCGTCTTTATGGACGTGTTCCGATATCATCAATCCTCAGAAATCAAAGCAAAAACTTCATTCTGTTACGGGACATTGTTGAACAAAAAACGCTCAGCCTAAAACGCTGGGTTGTTTGTACTCCATAGCTCTCCGTTAATGACGGAATTCCAGTTATCGCCTAAAATTTATTGTGGGCCAATATTAGTTTCACGAATGATAATGTCTATAATTTTATCGAAAAAAAAAAAAATAGTTTAAAAGGTTTTGTCATTTAGGTAAAATTTGAGCTGTACTTAGTTCTAACAGGCCTTTTAGCTAGGATGTTCCTTGCTAAATGTTTAGAGCTTTTAGGTTTCTGTCTATCTTACAATGTGTCATCTTTTCCTAAATATTTTCCCCTAGGTTTGAATTGTCGCCAAGGTAACTATCTGCCATAACTCAGCTGTGGTCAGATATTTGTGGACCGTATTTTATGCACAAACATTAAGAAACTATATACACATCAGGAATAATAAAATTGACTAACTGAAGTAAGCAGCAACGTCGCTAGTCGCTATATAATAGATTTTGATACTGCGTACTGCAAAATTACTCAAAATTCCACATAATACACGGTATTTACTTTGGAACATAAAAGACCAAGGGGTCATCATTGAACTCAAATTCAGAAAATATTTTTTATTTGTCCAATATGGGGAATTTTAAATATAATTCAAAAATGTTTCTGAATTTATTAAAGATAAACTTACATTGGGGTAACAATTAGCCCCTTTGGTTATCCAAAGGTTAAAGAAAAATAACCAATAAAAATAAAGAGGATACTTACTTTAAAAGCAATCGATGGTGGTAAATACATTCTAACATATCATGTTTCGTTTTCATATTCTTAAAAGCTTGATTAAGTATCTTAAACTGTATTGTCAACTCTATTGCTGTGAGCATAAAAATAAAATCGTATCCATAGAGAAGGTTGCACAGAAATGTTTGGCTTTCACACTGCAAAAACCAAACAATCAGAAATCCATGTTTGATGGGTGGAATCCAGCTCGCAGATGGTAGTTCGTGTACAAAAAATGGTTTACTTTCTACTAGTATATTTGTAAGTAAAGTACATACGGTGAAAACTATGTATAGTTTTGCAACTACAGAAAGAACTTTCATTTCTCTTTTTATTAAGCTTTCTCCGTATTTGTTTCTTGACCAATATAGTTTTCGTATATCTACTAGTTCTAATAATTCTTTTCTGTAAATTGTTACAGCAATCAACTTAGATGTTACCTAAAATATAGGAGAACCTATAATCGCAAGTTAATAAATATAAAAAAGTTGGGTAGAGTAGTAACAAAATAAATGGCATTTTGCATAAAAAATCTTTACTTTTTATTTTCGCTTGTTACAGTCAAACTATTTTTGGGAAATAAATTATAGTTTTGTAAAAAATATACCTTATTGCTCAATATTTTACTATTGTTTGTTTGGATTGTTTCAAATCCAAATTTTTTGGTTACGTTTTTACGTTTTGGTTACGTCAAAAGTATTGTTAGGTTTTTCGTGGATTCAGGGCTTAAGCGAAGTACACGTAGTAACTAATTTTATTTAACTAACTAAAAAAATAACTAATTATAATTAGATAACTAAATAGCAAATATCCCATTTATAAATTATCGTATACCGCTTTTATAAATATATATCATCTATAAATTATCGAGTCAGCGCTTTTAACATGAAATTCCAGGAATATATCGTGAAGAACGCCAGGTAGAATTTTCTAGATATTACAGGACCGTAATACACATTACAGTCACACAATATCGCCCCCTTCTTTCAGGCTGTTCGCTCCTAACAGTATCTAAATGAACCAGGTCGGCGGATTCTGCCCTTTATAAGTACAGTCTCTCTAGGTAGACCACTTTACTTTGTGGCGTTAGTTTCACCCTATATACAAGGTTATTTATCTTCTTAGTAATCAGGTAGGATCACCCTCACAGGGCCACTGCAACTTGGAACTTGGACATTTCCTTCTGGTTGGTTGGTAGAGACTGGATCACCTTTCTTGAATCGATTCATCTGGTCACTGGTGAATTGTAGCTTATTCCTGGCGAAATGGTGGTTAGCCTTTTAGGCCGCAGAATGTCAACATCAACTGGTTGCCTTGGAGTCCTAGTAATTTTGGAGTTTTCCTTTAAGTCTCGTTTTGGGAGCTTTGTTGAATGCACAGAGGTCACGTCGTTAACATCATCCTTCTACATCTTGCCGCCAATTAACCCAAAAATACCTCTCATGGACTTTGGCCAGAGTTCTATTGATTCCAAAATGACCCCGGAGCGGCTATCATGGAGTTCTGCAAGTACGTCCTAAACATATGACGTTAAAAGAACAATTTGATGTAGTGTTCTTGTTTCATCTTGACTCTCTCTACATTTACGAGTGATGATGCCATCTCGCATACACAAGGAGTCCCACTGAATCCAATCGCCCTTTACTGCTTGTCCATATTTTGCAATTTCCTGCCACTGTGGCCTAGTTCCTTTATCCATCCACTCACAGATTATTTTTTAAAAAATTAATAAAATCCTTTATTCACATCCACAATCGGTCTATATCACAACAACAAAACGTTTTCGGAATCCATATTCCATCATCAGTGTCCTAAAAAGTATATAACCACATTAATCAAAAATAACGTGAAATTTAAATTTTGACCAAGGTTAATACAAAATGTGGTTAATACTTACTAGGTGTACATGTTTTGAGCCACTAAATATCTGGGTAAAAGTCTTTTTCAGAGATCTTCAGAGTCTCTCTATTGAGCTAGATCTCATCATTTAAAATCTCTCTGTTCCTTTAAATCAAAAAACTTCAGAAACTTCCGTTTAAATACTATAAACAAATTTAAAAACGAAAAACACGTTTCTGGAAAATTGAGTATAATATTTAAAAACATGTTAGAATAGTAATGGGTAAGTTTTATTTTATTAACAAAACTTAAAAGAGGATAAGTTTTCAAGCTATTTACTTGTGGTGTGTTTAATAAAGGTATAGTTTTATGGGATTTAGGCACAATTGGCTGTAATGATAATTAAATTTTTTTTAAGAAAGAAAAAGTTTTTTTTAATGTAATTATGATTACAACCAATTGTGGCTTAATCCCATAAAACTATACCGTTATTAAAAGACTAGTTTGCAAGATGTACAAGATTTTTATAAAATGAAAACAATAGTGGTTTATTATTTTTTATTCTACAAAAATAAATATAGTTTTGTTAAAAGTATGTAAACGCTAATAGCATTAAAGTAATTTGCAACATTCACAAACGTTGCTTCACTTAAACTCAATTTAATTTTTATCGTCTACAGTTTCTTCGACTTCATTTGTACTAATTCCTCCAAAAATAGCTTCCTGTAATGTAAAGCACGCTTGTGGGGCATAGGTAAATAATCAAGAAGATCTTGTAAGTCCTTTTTCTTTTCTTCTTATGCTTGAGAGCACCTTGGTATTTGAGAGGAAGTTCTATACTATCCTAGTTAAAATTTATTACATCGTGAAGTTTCTTTCGTCCTTTTGGAGTATAACATTTGTAGAAATATCCGTGATATATGCGATAGGATTTTTAAAGCCCATCTTAGAATCTTTTAAAAATTCGAATATTCTGCCATCCTTGAAGTTAACTCCCAACATTTAAGATTTAGTTGCTGATTTTTGAAGAATACTATAATCATTAACCATTTCCATCGTGACATTAACAACTTGGAATTTGTTCTTTTTTAATATGTGTAATATAATTAGTATAGTAGTATCTAGAAAATTCTCACAGTCCTTGATCTTTAATTTAATTTAACCAAAATCTCGATCACATCCCATTATGTAATACACTGACATTAAAAAAGCGTGCTTAATCAGATTAAAACGAAACGATTTGCATGACAAAACAACGTTTATGTTCTTAATTTGTCTGGCACAGTTATCCATTAACATTATAAGTTTTCTCACATACTTATTAACAAAGTTCTCCAAGTAGTGACTAAGAAAACTGACTATTTTGCACGATCCGCGTTTAGCAATGGTTTCATCCCATACATACATTATGGCTGCTCCTTTTATGCATTTCTAGGTTGTAAGTCCACATTTTTCTTTCGTAGTAATGCTTGTTTTAAATCAATATATTTTTTCTATAGTATTTTCATGCTGATTGATTTCGTATATTTTCATTTTCATCATATTCTGAGGAGCTTTCTGCTTTGCTAAATGAACCTTCAGCTTAGTATCCAGTTCAGTTATTCTGAGAGAATTTGGGTTACTAGTCTTTAACTCATCAAGTTAAACTTTAATCTTAGAACAGGTATTACAATCATTAACAGAAGAAGGCTGAACACCTATATTGAATTCGTTGACAAAGATATTTCGAAAGTAGGACTCTATCACAGGCTGTTCTTTAGGATGTGTGTTTCTTAACCATTCCATATAAACTCCTTATACTCCAGCAATTGACGAAAAGAACTTTTGGCTCTGCTATAGTGACTGGAAACGGTAACAAGTGAATCAATGTAATCGCTGGCAAACTGCTTTCTATATCCAACCATTTTATGTCCTGAACCCACCCCAGTTATCACCTAGCACCGTTTTTGTGGTGGTCTGCTTGTCCGAAGCTTCCTACTAGCTCTGTCAGTAATTAAAGACTTTTTACAATCATTCCAACTTAGATATTGGTTTTTATTATCGTAGCTTCCGATTTGCCAGAAGATATTAAAAATCACATTGATATTGAACATTACCAACCTTTCAAAACATATTTTACGACACTTACATGGCAGTCCAATTGTGCGAGCAGATACAGTTTTCTTTATATTTTTTGAAACGTACGCTTCACCACAGTTTCGTTTGGTTTTAAACACGTTAACAAGCCATTGTTCCGTTTTCTTTGGCTTTCGCCTAGTCGTTTTCTCATCGTTCATTTTGAAAATAAATCAGAAAAAACAAAACAACTTTAAGGCTAATGTTACGTTGGTTGCCTTATGGTACCCAAAAACTCAAGAATAACGCATATATCTGAGAATATCTCTCACAAACTACAGAAACACCGGCGCGTTGATACGGTTACAGAGGAGCAAACCTTGAACGAAAAAGTAACGAAAGCCTGTGGGTTCGCCATTGCTCTTTTACACGATGATGTAGTTCAGTTTCTGACTTGAATGGATTGGTATCTTATTTCTTACATAATTTTAGGAATATGAAGGGCGAAACATGCTTTTATAATATACACAAGCATTCTTTAAAGGTTTGTGAGAAAGATGAGACGGTTTTTGAACCGTGCCTTACTCTTCCAAGAAGTTCCTGATTTATTGTGTATAGTAAAACGGCTATGGAAGCTGCGAGGATATTTAGATTTAAATTTTTCGATTGTTTTTGTAAAATATATAGAAACGAGAAGTTTTTCTTATTGGGTTTAAGAAATTTTTTAGTTTTGGATTAATAAATATGATTGGACAAACGTTTTTGCGTATAAGAAATTAAAGAAATAATTTTCAAAACTAAATATACTTTATGTTAAGACTATGGTAGGGACAACAAACGAATTTTCAAAAATTTTTTTTCTAAATTGATCAAAATAATAAAAATATAATACAATTTACCTGTGTAGTTAATGACGTAGCTTCTAAAAATCCTGTAATATTTTCTAGAGATCTTTTCATAACAAATGGTAATGTTAAGACCATGCTGACAACTAAAAAATTACATAAGTGAGAAAAAGCAAAAATAAGTTTATCAACAATGGTTTGTTCTTTTTTCAATCCACAAACGTAAAATATTTTTAAATATATGTTTAACAATTTATCTTCCAAATTCATACTGTAAACTCTTTTAATAAAAACCCAAACTGGAAGAAGGAATAAGGACAAATACAGTCATACAGTAAACAGTCGTTGTATTTAAGAAATTTATTTTGTAAGGAAAATATTAAGGACTATTAAATAAATCTAGTATAATTGCGTAAAATTAGGGAAATTTCTTTAAACTGAAAACAGTGAGTAAATTATTTATACATACCCGTTTACTACATTAATTATTCAAATGAAATTTCATTGTCACAATCTTCTTTTCTAATTTATTGCTTTTTGTTTTTGTAACTCAATATTGTAAATACATCAACCAAATTACAGTTACCTACAATACCGAGAAATTAAAAATTTATTGTTTCAAGGAGGATGGTTTTAAGAATATAATCTGGAAGGAAAATGAAAATAAGGGGAACATGTCTGATATGTTGATATAATAATTTATGGGTATGACGAGTAAATAGTACAAACCAAGGTACAGTAATATTATAGCTTACAAAAAATAAAAAAATAAAAAAAAAGAATAAACCCAGTGGGTCAGTGAGGTCATCGGTACGGTTCAATCAAGTCAAAATATAAGAAAATAACTAAAGGAGTGATCAACCAGTTGTCTATGCTAATAAAAAAAATTAAAAAAGACACTCATAGATTAAAATTAATATTATTAAGCAGTATGTTTAAAAAATACTTTTTATCAGAAAAATAATTTTTTGATTAAGTCTTAAAACAACCAATATACTGTGGAACAGAAATCTCTTAACAAGGTGGAGCTTTCAGTACGCACAGAGAAAAAGTATTCGGCCAGAAAAGGAATCTTACATAAAAAAAAACTATTCTCGATAAAAAGCCCAGCGTAGAAGGAAAACAAAAGTAATGAATTGATTAAAATATATTATTTACTAAACAATAAATAATTATGATGGAATTACAATACAATAAACTTACTTTCATTTTCAATGATCCTACTTGGAAAACTTTGTTTTTCAATGAAACAATGAAACTATTGTTTCGTTGGTTCACTGGTAAGTGTTTCAAAGTTTCAAAATAAATATTTAGATAAGGCAATAATTATATGATTCTTACAATCATTTTAAAATTTTAAATTCTTTTTAATTTAAAAGTAACCTTTTGAAAGACACACCGACAAAGCAATCGAATACACACAACCGATAATAAATATATCGTATTACAACGATATATTAAGCCTTGAGATTCCAATAACGGTTCGCGTTTTAAATAACATTTTCTTCGATTGGCCACTTACCTAAAAAATGTAATTCCCACTAAGATATAAAAGGTTACCAGATCATTTAATTTTCAACTATCACCAAAAATGTAATACATGATGACAAGTATGAATTTAATAGTAGTACAAGTCTAATAAAGCAAAGTATTATGACATATGGAGCTAAAATTTGGATTATAAATAAGAAAAACAGCAGTAAGATAGTAGCAACAGAGATCGAATGCCTGCGAAGATGCTGCAGAGTAACAAGAATGGATAGGAGAAGTAATGACGAAATAAAGCAAAGAACATCAATAATGACATACAGACATACTAACATATATAGAACAAAAAAGACTAAAGTGGCATGGACATGTAAGAAGAACTAGAGACAGCAGATGGATAAAGAGAATAACCGAATGGAGCCTCATAGGAAGGATCAAAAGAGTACGACCCCAAAGATTCTGGAGGAACGAAGTAGACGACGCCATGAGTCAGAGAGTCCTAAGCGATGGAGAATGGGACAATAAAGAGAGATGGAACCGGTTGAGCGAGGGAAGGCAGTGAATACTGTAGAATCCCTGAAATATATATATATATATATATATATATATATATATACATATATATATATATATATATATATATATATATATATATATATATATATATATATATATATATGTATATAATCTAATAATTATTTCTCGACTTTGACTATTAACAGCCCATCCGGATACTGCTCTTCAACTCCATGCTATAATATTAATAGCACTAATTTAGGTATACTAATTTGTGATATAATATTTTTATATCACAAAATTTCCTTCTCTTTACAGTTTTTAATTTTCACAGGTTTCTGAAAAGAACACAAATACAAAACGTATAATCACAACATTGTGAAAATAAAATCCACAAGGAAAAATTCCTGTAGCTGGCTGTATACCACGTATAACAAAAAGAGGTTAATCTTTGTAAATGGGTATATTTATTTAAAAAACCCTTAAAATGGCCACATCAACAAAAAAAACGTTTTCGGACCACCCAGTCCATCATCAGGTTATTAAAATCGAAAATGCCTAAAAATAAGTATAAACCATTTAGTTAAAACAAACGAGATTGTGAAATTTTGACTATGGTTGAAAAGCAAAAGATGGTTATACTTACTAGGTCACAATGCCTGAGCCACCAAAATATTAGGGTAAAAACCCTTTAAATTACATTTAGTTATGAAATATTGTACATTGTGTTATAAAATAACTGTGATGTTCAGTATTAAATTAAATTTGACTGTAGGTAACACATGGTTCAATTGGGTTCCAGAGCCGGTGAGAGGGAACCTCTGCACTCGGAGAACAACGTGGAACTGATTGACAAGATACTTTTGAAGGATGAAGATAACAGAATGTCAATGTAACAAAAACTATAATAGTTGTACATAGTATTACTACAGCCAAAAGATTTAACAAGTTTTGATGATTTTAAAAAATAACAACAATCTAGGTGTTGGGATTTAAAAACTTTTTATTTATTAATTTAGGGTATAAAAGATGTCAAATCAATGATGGTTTTATAGTCATGATTAATAGAATGACCTGTGCCTTAGGCAACTTATGTTGCTTTTCGTCGTATGGAGTGTGGTCTAAAGTGTATTTAATTTTGGGTTAGCTTATATTTATGAAATTTATCCTTTTATGTTTAACACATCTAGGACAAGGTAAAAATTAAATAACAAATATTTGAAGCTAATATCAGACCTCATATTTAAATGACTTTATTTAAGAATGCTCCTATGGTGAAAAATTAATAAAATTAAGTTTAGTAAGATGGAAATCTACAGGCTGAAGAAATTGAAGTAGTAACATATGTGATTGAATTTAAAATTGAAGAGACTGGGTTCCTCAGAGACTAATGAGAATAAAAGTAAAAGAAATGACTGATGAAAAGGAGGGGGGGGGGTTGAAGGAGAAAAGGAGTTGATCAACAATTAGAGATAATAGGGGTCCTTTATACTTAAAGTATCTAGCACCCTGAACAAAATCTATTTTGGTTGTATTAAATTCAGTTTGTAGAAACCTGAAATTTGTTGTATAAGTGTGCTACTAAGTTGTTGACCGAAAGAAGGTGGACAAAGGTAGATTAGGATTCTTTGTAATATGTTAGATTATGAATTTTAATAAATTGTTAGATAATGTTTGAATGATTAATTAATTAAAACTATTGGATACATGTTTAATATATGAATTGACCAAGAAATAATGAAAGAGAACAGAATTAACAGGAAAGCGATGTAGAAGTGAAGAGTGGATAAGATAGTGAAATGTTGTTATGATGGATGTGGATGGTTCTGAAGTTAAAATTGGGGTCAGAAATTTGTGAGAGGAAGGTGTGACGACATTGTATAAAATGGGTGTTTGAAGAACCACAAGATTGTGTAGGAATAAGGTGTTGACGTTTGTATAGGAAAATAAGGCAGAAAATCTTTCTTTTTATTCTTGTCTTGTTTCTTTGAAGGATAGCAGCACTACATATGTACCTAGCAATGTTTTAAATTGCCCGATATGTTAAAAATGTAATCTGTTGTAGTATTTTGTGAAAACGATCTGATGGAGCAATTTTAATGTCTTTTTTGAGCTTAGACGACTCAAATTACCTAGAAACCGTGAAAATATTTCCGGCAGCAGATTGAGTGTTTACCGATATAATCTAATAATGAGAAGTGGATGAAAGATATATTGGCAAAAGCAACTTAAGTGTTTGTTTCACATAACTGTAGAGTTTGTATAAGCATGTTCTTAACTGTCTTGATCTTATATGCTAACCATGTCTTAATGTGCGGTTTGTTTTGTTTGGTCATTTGGCAGTGTTACAATGATTTCTTTGATCTAAATATCCATTTCCGATATAAGTAAAGAAATATTATTAATTCCTCTAATATATTTTGTTCTATGAGTTTGTTTAATACCAACACTTTGCTACATTTTCCTTTTGTAAATTGATTCTTTCTAACTTTTACACTTACTCTTTCCCGCCAGATTGCCTCCTGGGAATATAGATTTGTTTGTCTCTCAACGGAATTGGGGCCAGTGTCTAACTGCGACTGCGAGCATAGTTATACGACTTTTGACAATTTATCAAATTTTTAAAATTTGCTAATTTGTTTGGTGAAAGATTTAATTAACCCAATTTCCTCATCTGGTTTACTGATTATTATTTTGTGAATATCTGTTACTATATAAAATATACTATATACTATTTTTTTTTAAAGCTTTATCGGTCGTTAGTTTTTCAGGTCTATCACTTTTTTATATATCATCAGAAATATAGATACTTAAAGTAACGATATTTATCATAAATTCTTTATTATGTTTGTATCCATTTTACGATCCTGTTAAAAGCAAATTAAGTAAAACAGATTTAAGTAATACATATATTATTTTATTAAGTACATAAGCAAGAACTGTAATCTTAAACCTTACATCAGTGACTGCTTTCATTAATTTTTGTAAGTATTCTAATAATAATTTTAACATGCTTAATGATTTATAGACAACAGAAGTGTATAGATAGAATACACCGATCGACAAACCTAAAACAATAAAAAAATCAGTGCAAAAAATTGAGTTTTGAGATATTAGTATCAAAAATTTTGTTTGCCAATTTTTTTGTAATATTGGAAATTATTTGGATGCAATAATACCTCAAATGGTATTGGGTCAGTTTATATAATGTTGAAGTCGCCATTTTGCTTAGCGGAAGTGTATTATGTAATACGCCAGTTGCTTCTTAGACTTTAAGAATAAAAGATTACGGATCATATAAGTTAAACTGAATTATATCAAAACAATTGTACCTTTTCTCATTATCTTAGAACCCAATCATTGGCAGATAATTTGATTTTTATTTATTATTTATTAATATCAATGTTTTGGAGAACGGAATATTTGCAACGACAGATGGAGTTTATAAAAGATAGAACACAAACTGTTATTACAAAGTTTTAAAACATCAGCGCACAGTAAAATGAAAAAAGCACCAATCAAGCATACTTGCTCACGAAACTATATTGGTAGTGATATCACCATCGCCGAACTTCGCAGGGATTATCTGAAAGAAAGGAAGGAGGCAAACGTCCCATGAGTCTGCTACTGACAATACAGAGCTATTTTTCAATATACTAAAAAGTACCAATTTGAAGTTTGTCCATTTTACAGTAATACTAAAACTAATCATATGGAATATAAAATCAAATCTTAGAAAAACTCGTTTAGAAAAAGAAAAAGAGGAATAATAAAATAGCAATTGATTCTACTATTGTTGTAGTCTACGCGTTTAGACAGTGCTTTCTTGTCAGCAGGGAGAAGCGTCATCTTTCTATTGCATTATATAAACTAGGAAAAAAAGAGGGGTCACAAAAAATTGCAAGCTGTGTACTCAAATATTTGCGTTACATAAATTACAAAGCTGCCAGTGTAATTGACGTCATATTTTATAGTGACAAATGTTACAGATATCAAAAAATCAGTACATGATGGCCATGTACAAATGTGCGGTTACTAAATTGTCAAAGATAAAATCAATTATGGATAAATTTGCGATTAAAGGCCATAACAAAAACAGCTCACTAAACCATAGCGAAAAAAGTTAAAACAGCCTTCCATAGCGGATTAATATATTTTCCATCCCAGTATGCAATGACAATAAAAACTGCCAAAAAATTGGAAGAGCTTAGCAATTGCATAAGAAAAATATTTAAAGAGACGAGATAATGCCCAAAAAATTTTCGTCTGACTACTTCATTCACTTTTTGACATATTAAATTCGTAAGACACATCGAGTTAGAATCTATGGAGAGGGCATCACGTGACTAAAAACGACCTTACTTCGGTCATATTGTTAAGAATTGTTTTGACACTTTTGACAGATCGCATATGTTTGTTTACATTTATTGTTTTTCGAATATTTTTAGCTTTATAATACTTTTATAGAAACTGTAATAATATATTGTTATAGTGCATAATAATGGTTTCTTGTTCTCAACGTAGTTTCAGTATCAGAAGCAATGGTAATAAAAAAATCTTCAGGAATATCATTCCACAGGTTAGTAAACAAATATGTAAACAAAGTAATGGCCCGTACTTCAGAGAATAAATTAATTTGACTGTATTAATTTATATTTATGTATAATATATCGTGTTTTTAGTGTTTACCGTGCGATAAATAAATCATAGTTTATTAAAAATGTATTGCACTTTTTTAGATTAGGATTAAATCTTCTAAATAACTAGTCATATTTGTATAGTAGTTTTAATATTATTGAGACTGGGCCTGATCCATCGAGTAAAAAGACAAAAGAGGGAATCTAATCCTTATGAAAAGGAGACCAAAAAAGTGGCCTCTAATGGCGGACATATCCGGAAATGCGAATGCGCCAAATTTAAATTTTCTGACACTTATTAACAGTAGCTATATAATATTTTTCAGAATGTGTCTTAGACGAGAGTGTTTTAATTAATTATTAACGGTAATAGTCTAAAATACGACACAATTTTTAAAAAACTTCAATATAAATAAGATTTCATGTGACATTTGGGACAAACAATAACATAACCCAACTAAATTTGATGTCAAACAAGGAGTGAGACTCTCTTTCCTTGTTTAATGTGACCTCTAAAGATCGCACTTCCTGTCTAACAATATTTTTGCCCCCACTACCTTTACATTCCCTCTATTGTCTTTTTGCTCGATGGACTGATCCCACCGCCATATTGGTATTATCGTTAGCCACGCCTACCTACGCCGTTTTTAATATATACGTTAATATGCTCATAGCTCCTCCATAGAGTCTAACTCGATGGTAAGACATAATGAGAACATATTTAAGACCTATTGAAAGCTCTCCAAGATCCATTCAGAGCTATTGAAAGTTGTTCTAGATCTGTTCAAAAGCTGATTAGAGGCTGTGCGAATTATGACCAGACTATAGTACCAAGCTTGCTTAGCTACTGAGGTTACAGGTTAAAGTGTAATCAAGTAGCTGCCTTTCTACTATGTTAGTATAATTAAAATTATCGGACAAAATCCGTGAAATGAATATTACTATTAACGTGATAATAGATTTATTCTTCCTTGTATTTTGAATATAAATTATATACTTACAGTAACAAATGCTTCTCGGCCAACATGAAAAAATCCCAGCGCATCTATTGCAATTTTCTTTTGTGATTCAAGCATTAAAAAAAGTGTATCTTTCTTAAAACTTTGACCTTTATCATACCATTCAGATTCATATACTGCATTGGAACATATCTCTGCCTAAAATTTGCATCACATTGTTAAAAATGAATATAAAAATCACTTTTTTTGATTAGTTATTCATATTCATTATAATTGAAATTTAAAAGTAAGTTATGGAAGAAATCATGATAAAAAAAATTGTTTTTAAAATATTTGCTCTTAGGATAATTTTATACCATTTTACAAAAAGAAGTTTTTGTTAAACAATTTTAAAAATTATGCAAAATGGATTTATAAATTCAGTTTTTGTTGGTTTAAATTTTCATTGTGCATGCTCTGCTATACGTGCTTTATTATCAATTAAAAACAATGACTTAATAGTTATTTATGCTCTAAGGGTGCTATAAAGTTGATTACGCCTGGAGAGTAAAATAATCCAGCTAGAGATCCTCTGACCCGAGGGATGGATGTTGCTTGAACTAAAAAGAGTCAAATACCTGGCTCTAAGATGTCCTGAATCTTAATAAATTTCGCTTATTCCCCTAAAGTAATAGTAGTCAAATTTAACATTTCTGTTAATCATAAATTTACCAATGTCCCTGATTTTCGAATAATAGAATAATATCAAACCGTCACAGTTACATTTGAAAGTATAAATATTACGTCTTAATTATCTCCTTTTTATTTCATCTGTGACATTGTATCTGTATGATTGACTAAATTTTAACAATCCTAGCAATCCTTTGTACCTAAGATTTATGACACTATCAATAAGCAAATCATTTCGGTCAACTTTTAGGTACCTAAGACCTTTATGGTAAAATTGATTTTTTGAAATTTTATCTCATAGAAAAATGGGTTTTCTACTAAAAACGGAACTAAATATACCCTAATTGTGTGCACCAATTAAATGTAATGCAACTTTTAATATCATTACCATGCCTTCCATGACTAATAATATCCTATCTCATTTCAATTACCCATTTTTTATATTAGAAATTGTTTATTAATAGACATACCTCATCTTGCAGCATTGCAGAAGGAAAACAGAAGATTGCCAGTTGTGACAGTAAAATGGTGGCGTACGTACATCCTTTTATTTTTAAAGAAGCGTCTGCTTTTCTATGATAAGCAAAAGATGCTAAATTAAAAATTATAATATAAAGCATCCGATACAATAAACAGGACCAAAATAATATATAATACTATTACACAAACCACAAATTTTAGTTTATACACACGTTACTGTTTACGAATTCAATTTGTAGTCCTGAAACTCCTTTGTTGTGGCATGTTTAACACAGATATTTTTTGGGTGACATTAAATGACAATTAGTTGTAACGAAAATTACATTTTTTTATTTTCGTCTGGCGTTTTGATGTTAAATCTGGAAATCTTAAAAAAAACTAAAATAAAAACTTTGAAAACGATCTTTAATCTATAAATGTTTATGAATAAAAGGAGGGAAGATTACAGTAGACTTATTTGGCCTTAGACTTATAGGCATCAGCCCCTTGTGTAGCAGAAAATTCTGAAAAGTATTGGCATACTCTCTAATTGAGGGAGCCTTCTCTGACAGCGTGGAACACATGTCCGCTGCAGCTAAGATCCACCATGTCCTCTCCAAAGATCCGACTCTGGAAGTAGGCCAGGTGCATCTTCTCAGTGAAAGGCTATCTTCCCCTGACGAGAGTGTCCTAAGGACTCACTTCCCGGACGACAAGGATGACAATACTGCCATAGTTACAATTAGGATGACGCGAATGGGGGTCTTTTGGATGGTGAAGGAGGTAGTATCGTAAACGAACGTGTGCTGGGCTGTTAGGGTTTTCGCCCCCTTCAAGTCACCAGGTGACAGCATCATGTCGGTTCTGTTTAAGTAGAGTCTGGACCTTACTGCCCTCACACTAGTCAAGATATTTAGGGTCTGTCTTGCGATAGGGTAGATTCCTTGACCCTGGAGGAGGTTTATTTTCAGACTGAAAGTCACTCACTTGTTGAAGCGGGTCACCTAGTTTACGGATGGGTCGAGAATGACCGAGTGGGCAGGTGCTAGAGTATATGGTGGTGGAATCGGATTTGAATCTGACTGGGCTCTCGGCTCCCATGTATCAGTCTTTTAGACCGAGATTTTTACGATCCTGGTATGTGCTTAGGAGATAATAGCTAAGGCTTACTCAGGAAGGACTATCTCTATCTGATCTGATAGCCAAGCACCGCTAAAGGCTTTAGATATGCCCAATGTTAATTAGTTCTTGAGTGTAAGAGAGCACTTGCTGTCATTGCATTACTGCCATTGCACTGACCAATAGGTTGATTTTAGTGTGGATACCGGGACAAACAGGCGTGGAAACGAACAAATGGGCTGACGCCCTGGCAAGACAAGGCTCATCCACCCTGCTTATGGGACCTGAACCTGTAATTGGAGTGCTCTTCAGTACTGGTCGGGATAGTCTCAAAGAGGTTCTTCTGTGGTAGTTCAAGGACTCACTTGTGGAGGTATAAGATAGGCTAGGCTTCACATAGTGGGGCCATCCAAAAGTCTTGCAGCTCAAGTCCTAAACCGTAGCAGATACTCTCTGGTGGTCAGTATACTTACCGACCACTGCAGACTAAGGCATCTTCATCTGTTTGGATTAGCGGATGGCCTACAGTGCTCTCTTTGTAATGAGAAGAAGGCATAAACCTCCTTACATATCCTGCGAAAGTACCTGTCACTAGACTATCAGAGGTCGCATACTCTAAATCGGCCTTTATGTAACTGAGTCAAATAAGGGAGTTGGTAGCTTTCTGTGATACAAGATAACTAAAGGATTAGATGCTCGGAACGGCAAGAAGGGCTCGGATTTAGAGCCCCTGCTGATTAAAGCAGATACGTGAACCCGGAGGAGCAAGAGTCCCAGAAACGCCGAAGATTAAGTCTGTATCATAAGGGCGATACAGATGACCCATCTTAGAAAGTCTAAGTATCTGAAAGGCGCACAAATAGGCTCTTCTCCGATATACCATAACCAATAACCATATACCCTCTAATTGATATCAAATTCTGATCTTTATGTGCTTGTTATATATTGTTACATATATTATAGTGGATTATAGATGCTGTGCCTTTAGCCTGCTGTTAACTTGTTAGTGTTAGTATAGAATATACTAACCAGTAACTAAGCTACTGGTAACTTTTTCTTTCAGTATTGGTAACCAGAACTTACTGATTTAATCCAGCAGCCCTTATCCTTCATTTAGAAGAATAAGGACTGCTTTCTTGATTTTCCTCTTTTTACTATCTGTTTATTTCGTATTTATTACTGCATCTTTCCATTGGACTCTGCGTTCATTTGGTCTCAAGGATCTTTGCATATTTGAAATCTATCAAAATATCGTGTATTATTCTAAGATTTATGTAATAACACGAAGTGCTATAATTAGTATTATTGCAATATTGTATTTATTTTTTATTCTTTTAAAATTTTCTTATAAACCTTTACATTTGTTGTTGTTATTTCCTAAATTTTTCTTTTGAATGTTTCATGATCTTTATTGATGCTTAACTAGAAGGCTCCTTGTCTATGAGACCATATGAGGAACACATAATCTACATATCTTCACCATAATAATGTGGATTTTTGTCCTTTTTGTATAGAATATTGGTTTCAAATTAATGCATGACTACATCTGCTAATAATAGAGAAAAAGAAAAGCCCATTCCTAACGCAAAATCATATTCTATCTAATTAAAACTAGATATTATCGGTAGACAATGTCATTAGCTGCACTATATTTGGTACATTCAGTTTTGTTCAATGTATCGTCCTTCTTTAGTCTACTTTTTGCTATTCTTAGGGATATTCTAGAGGCACATTTAGAAATAATAAACAATGTAAATCTTCGCCAATCATAAACAGTAATAGTTACAACAATATTTATTTTTAAAATCAAAATGTCAGCAGAAAGTAAAAAATGTAATTTTCACTAAAAGTAATCGTGTTTCAAATAAAAAGGCTCTAATTGTGTTTCTGCTTCTATAGCATAGGCTGACTTACATACTTCTAAGCTACGGAAACCTTTTCTGACAAAATTATTTAGCACATTTCGGCTACCACAAAGGAAATAAAAATAATAAATATTGAACTCTTTGCCTTTATGGTCATTAAAGTAGATAGCATCTGTCGTACATTGCCACTATAGTGGGAAAATATGCAGATGGTTCTTAAAATTTTCTGGATTTAAGCTTTTATATCGTTTTCTTCTTCTTCTTCCTGTAGAGCTTATCTGTTTTGGATGTTCTCTACTTGGTACATGCTGATGCTCTGAAAAGATTTGTGGTTGTTGTAGTGTACCACGTACGTAGGTCTTTTAGCCAGGAAATCCTTTGCTTTTCTGGTCCTCACTTTTCTTCAATTTTTCCCTATAAAATTAGTTACAGAAATTCATAAAGTCATTAATTTTGTCTGTTTTTATTGTTGTTAACAGCTCTTTGTTTTGTATTCTAAATAAAACTTCCTAATTAGTGTAACGTGGACGGTATATTATATCTCAGGATTCGACGACAAATTCACATTTCGAAAGCCCCAATTTTATTAAAGGTAGCGTTTAAGAATCCATGACTCAACTCCGTACAACAGTATAGGAAATATATAATATCGTAGTAACCTGACTTTTGCATTCTGTATCCTACATTTGATTTCTAGGTAATGGTCCCAATTTTCAGTGAAGTTCGCACCAAGGTAGGTGTATGTTTTCACTTTTTCTATTTATTCATATATCACATCATATTCTGAAGCTGTTTTGTTGTGGCATTTTAAAGTAATTATTATTTAAATGGGAATAAGCCACAGTTAAAGGTAAAAGTAAATTTATTGACGTTTCAATTTCCACTTTGAAAATCATCCTCAAAATATAAACATTATGTTTGTTCACTTACTTCTGTAACATTTAATAACTCCTGGAGGGCATCAGCTGACAATAAATACCACCGTTACTTGCTGAAAGATTTCCTCAGAATATATGTTGAACAGTAGAGGTGATGTTATGTAACCCAGTCGGACACCAGGCTTGATTTTGATGTTATCAGATGATCCCGCCTTTTTAAGGATAGATAATGTTTGATTCAAGTAAAAATGGCTAATAAATATTAGAACACATGAGTTTGTTCCAATATTTGTTAATATCTCCCTCAGATTATGCTTTACTATATTGATCGCTTTATGGTAATAAATGAAGCTTGCATACATATCGCAATTTAGGTCTGTACATCGTTAAAATAGCACTTGTATGGTAAAGAGAGCCTCTCTCGTGCCCACTGCATTTCGAAAAATAAACTGTGTACGGTTGATATTTTCTTCACACCTTCTATATATCCTATGCTGAAAGATATTTAGAAATATCTTTAAAATAAGGCTCATTGCTGATCTCTAAAAATCATTGCAAGATACGGATTTTGTTTTTTGATAAAACAATAAACGTCAACTTCAGCCATGTTTTTTCTATTACTCCGCTTAAGGAGGCTTGCTGTCATCTTTTAGTTGGGATATTGCTTTTACCACTTTATGTGATGTGTACTTGGTCATTACAGTATGTAGGATGGAGGTTGTTCAGATGTATTATCATTAAAGAGTTATATGCAAATTTCTTGATTTTTATCTACCATGATGTATCCCTGTTGACGTCGCTGTTCCGAGAATTCTATCTTTTTACACTGTGTTTGTAATTATTTTTTATTGTCTTTCGTATTGGGGTTCTTATTTATCTCTGAATATTATAGTACATTCTTTTGTTGTCCCTTGGATTTCTTCTTTTTATGTAATTAAGCATATCTTATGATAGACAAAAAGCTTAAAATAACGATAACGTACCACTATTTGTAAGTGCAAATACAGTCCCAAGAAATAAAATGGGTGATAATATTTAGTTTATGGCAGCAAATCTACATTTATAAAAAATAAAAGTTGTACAAGTTGACTGTAGGTATTGTCTAGTGTATAGAAAATTTCGACATGCACGAATTTAACATTGATTGAAAATTTTCTGAACCTGCACATTTTGCTGAACTACATGAAAATGTGATGCGGCTGGAACTTCTTCACGCATACATAGGTTCTCAGACGCCTCAACGTGTAAATTC